ATTTCTTCACTTTATTTATCTTCTGAGATGTCTTTACATCTCCTTTATGAACACTATGATACATAATTTCCCCCAGGTTTTTATTAAATGCTTATGGAACGTGACTCATCTTAGATGGTTTGCAAGAAGCTTCCTCTGAGTCTACTAATTGTGTATTTATGTACTCCTTTACTCTTCCCTCTATTCAAGTTCCTCACTATCAAGAAGTATTGAGAGACTAGTTCAACCCTCCACAAACATATGCTGTTGACTTTCATTTGTGTTCACTCATCTTTTTGAAATCTCTTGTAAGCTTTACATTTTGTATTTTTTTTATTTTGTCTGCTTCTCAAATTGACACTTAAAAATGAAGGCTTTTGATATTTTAACAAGAAAAATTATTGCTAAATGTAATCATAAGATTCAACAAAAAAGTGATATATTAGCTTCAAATGGTGACCTGTGAAGTAGAAGAATATTCTGGGCTAGTTTATTGTGTCATTTCTTACTTTTAGAAGCTTAATCTGTTCCCTGAGCCTCGATCCTCTCACAGTACAAATAGAAATTTCCCATCTTCCTTTCCAAAAAATATTTGAAAAATTATTTCTGCCACAGAAAATAAACTTATTTCCCTAAATTTTAAATATAGATTCACCCTCAAACATTTTAGGCTCCAAAAAACTTGGTTTAAACAAAAATTACTTCACATGAGTGAATATTAGGGCTGAGGTCATGGCTCCTTGGAGTCTGTAACAGAGAAACCCCTGAAATCCACAGTGTTGGTATCAACAGGTAGGAGGGATGAGGCATAAGAGACAGTAGAGTATAGGAAATTATCCATATGACAACTGTCACAAGACTCATTCTGACCCTGGTTTCTCTGGACTTGAAAATGCAAGCCACTTTATCATCGGGGCACTGTATTTGTTTTTGTACCTGTTTGAACTCAGGACAATGTGCTAAGATTAATAACTGCTAAGCTTCTTTGTTTCTATAACTTTACATGTGATTTTTTTTTTTTTTTTTTTTTTTGGGGATTGAACTCAGGTCCTTGAGCTTGCCAGGGAAGCGCTTATTCCACTGAGCCATCTCCCCGGCCCTTTTACATGTGATTTTAATGATCCCTCGCAACATTCTGAAAATTGTTCATTGATGTTTATTAATATTATTATTGTTGCTGCTGCTGAGGCTCAAATGCAGAGCCTCACACATTCCAGGCAAGTGCTCTATCAAAAAGTTTCTAGTCCTGTTAGTTATTGTCTTCATTTTACAAACAATAAAACTATGAATTTAGAAAATTCAAATGACTAAAGTGACTACTCTAGAAAGTAATGATGCTGAATGGCAATCCCAGAAAGCCTATTCTTTTTCCGTTGCACCAAATAAAGGCAAGAAACTAGCAGTATGAGAGAGACTAGTTATGGCTTGACCACACTAGGTATGACTTCTCAGGGTCACATGGGACAGATATGGGATTCATTTATCACTGATATCTAATTAGTAATCTCCATAGAAATCTGTCTGGTTTTCTACCATCCTTATGCCCTCCTATCTGGTGAAACTAAACCCATGCTGTTTGTTTGGATTTTCTCAGCTTCACTCATGGCCACATAGACTAAAGAATAATTAGCAGTCACTCAAACAGGCAAATCAGGTTTTCTCCAGGAGGTTTAAAGTATGATTTTGCTTTCTCTTAATTTTCAAGTTGTACTGATACTATAGGTTTAATATGTCAAAAGTCACATTGCCATCATAGATGAAGATTTTTGAGAAGAACAAAAGCCACAACATGAAGATAGAGAAAGATACAGAATGGAAAAATTCAGTTTGAACTTTTAGGCCTAAATTAAATCTTTTCTCAAATTCTTTCTTTCTTTATTTTGTAATCCTTAGAATCAATTTGAACTGGCTTTTTGCCATGTGTAATAAGAATTCTGACTAATGTGATAATAGGCCTAAAGTGTAGAATTGATTAGCGTAGAATGGGATTATGGACAGTGGGCATTTCTCAACCTTCAGCTGAGAACTGGCAATTCCTGCTCCATTGGTAGCACTGAATCTGGTGATATTGTTGGTCTGAGACTCAATTAGTAGGCCTACTGTACCTGGAGTTCTGGGGTGCTAATAGGAAAGCAGTGGGTTTGTGGGCCATTTTGCCATCTTTACTGATCCTCTTAGAAAGATAGATGTGTCTGTTTCTGTTAGGCTTTTATCTTTTTTAAAAAAATGTATTTAGTACAGGGTCTACAGGGTCTCACTATACAGATCAGACTCAGTGATCCTCCTATTTTCAGCCTCCCAAGTGCTACATAAGCCACCACGCCCAGCCTCAGTCCTCATCTCAGCACTCCTCGGGGTGGGGCTGGCATGTATGCCAGAGATCAAACCCCGGTCCCTGCGCCTACCTAAGCAGGTGCTTTAATCTGCTGAGCTATCTGGCTGGCCCTAGACTTTTAAAATGAGAGATAAGATTATGTTGTGCTAACGTGGGTTCTTTCTACTTTTGATTACAATTGAAGACAGCATTCTGAACTTTTTAGAAATAAGGTCAGTGCTACGCAAGGTACGAAATTAGGAAACCGAGTGGAAAATAAAAATGGCACAAAAAATGTCACTGAATGACCTTGATTGACCCAACTATTTCTCTTTCTCACTCGCTTGTAGTAACTGCAGCATATACTCAGGATGCAACATTTTGAGGTAGGGAGGCACCATCTAGAAGAGCCCAGGCCCTCGTCCTGGCCTTATTTGAACAGGCCATCTTAGAGTGGTTGAGTGCAGCATGGCTTGTTATCCATGGGATGTAAAATCTAGAGTACACTGCTTCAGGACTCTCAGCTTTGGGTGTAACAGGGTTATACACAGAAGTATGCATCTTCCCTCCTGCTTTGGCTTGTTTCTTGTTGTCGCCCCTCCTGCCCTCCAAAGTCATAGGGTGGAATTCTAGTTTGTGATTAATTCATGATACAATGCTGGGCTTAGGAGTGTGAGTGCTATACTTAGCCTGGGGCAGATAGCCAGGATTTAGTGTAAGGAAGGGAGACAGGCTTGCCCACTGCCACCTCTGCAGTCACTGCCTATGAGCTGGCATATTTGCTCTTGCTGTTTTGCTGTTTTCTGCCACCGTGAACTGTTGCCTTCTGCCATGTAGCTCTCTGCCTTGGAGCCAGCTGATAATGGCTTGAAACCTCTGTTGAATTTTGAAACATATGAAGCCTGAAAACCCAAACTGTGAGTTAAATAAACATTTTCTTCCTTGATTCTGGGTGTTGGGTAGTTTGTCCCATCAACAGGAGAAAAGTAAACAAGATACCTGGACAGCTTTTCTGAGTCTTTTAGGACTAGGAGGTCTTGGGAGACCAGCTTATTATGAATTCTAGGCTTCTGTTGGCTCTTGATTATCTGTCTGAATAATATGGTTGTATCAATGAGCTCAGGTGAATGTGATTTCTCTCCAGACTTGGGAAAGTTGTAGAAATTGCAGCCCAAGTCATAGTAATGGAGTGTCCTGTGCACAGTCTGTTAGAGTACCATGAATTTGCCTTTCCGTTTAGATCTTGGGAGAAAAATAGTCCTCAAGGTCTTGAAGTTGGAAAGATTTAGGTCATAGTTGTCCTGACCAACAAGCACCACCTGCTGAGTTGAAAACAAGGTGCCCAAACACTTTATCTGTGTTTCTGAAGCTTTGTATTATTTTTGAGCCAGTGATCAAGATGGAAGCAAGTAAGGTAAACTGAGGAGTTAGCAGATAAGCAGAAGGAGGCTATGTTCTAGGAGGCAGAAAACTTCAGGCTGAGCATTAGGTAAAGAAAACTTGACAATCCAAGATTTTTAGATTCAATTACTCATTTATCAAGTTGCCTGAGCATGAATTTTCTGAAATCCTATCAAAACTCTAAAGGTATACTATCAGAAACTTATGAATTGTGAAAACCCACATCTCCTTGAAATGGGATGCAAAAGGAGAATCTTCCTTTAAGTAATGGACTTTGGTGTGATGACACAAACAGTGAAATGCTCCCAGAGAATAAAGCAAGGCCTGTGGTTTTGGTAACCTAAGGTAATTCTGGTCACTATAGGACAGAAGTCTCATTTTTCCTGATCAGCAGGAACTTAGTCACCTCTAGTCTCCTTCCTGGGCAAGTGGCCAACTTGGTGCATTAATACCTCAAGTTTTAAAGCAGTTACCATTCAGCAACATTAAAAGAACAGTGCATCTATGAGTTGAGAAAGGCCAGGGAAGGACTGGATTTGAACTAGAGGAAGGGATAACAGCTAGCTACCTTGTCCTTGGAGCTGGCTCCAAAAATCTATTTTTTTAGGTTATCTCTCTGGGGTTCATGGAACAAAAAGCAAGTATATATTTTTTGTTAGACATACTCTCATGCAGTGCTTCCCCCATGAACATTTTCATGACTGTGTGAGCAGGAAGAAGGTGGTGCCAGATGCTGGGCAACTAAAATGTGGACCACCATTAAGGCACTACATTCTGGCTTGAAACACAGTTTTAACTATTATTGCAAAAAATAGAACATAGAATGAGAGAAGCTGCATTGGATTAAGGATCAAGAAAGTTGGAAGAGGGGTGTGGTGGTGCATACCTGTAATCCTGGCACTTGGAAAGCTGAAGCTGGAACATCATCCTGATTTCAAAGCCAGCTTGGATTACATAGTGCAGTCAAAGTTAGCCTGAAT